GTGTGTGTGTGTGTGTGTGTGTGTGTGTGTGTGTGTGTGTGTGTTAAGATAGGAGCCATGATGAGGGTCACAATATTCTCCAAAGGCAGAATATAACTCAGCTGATGTCTGTCTGAGCTCAGAAAGACGATCTGCAGATTCGGGTGATAATAACCTGCAGATTATTTTATCGCACCAACTTCTTGTCACTTTGACAGTTCTAAAAAAATATTGTAACAATGAGCAGTGACGATTATTTCAGCACCTTGTGTCTGCAGGAAAATAAAGATATTCACACGGTTTCTCTTTTCCTGAGAAACTCTGAATATAAAGAACTTAAAATCCTTTTTTTAGCATTATTCTCAGCTAATCAAAGCTAAAATCCTGATAATTATGCAGTTTGACATGTTTCTGCCCCTGCAACACCAGGCTCAGCTTTCTGCTCTGCCTTCTGGACACTTTATAACTTATTTAAGTTTGCCTGCTGAGCAGGAGAGATTATATTTGTGTTGTGATGAGTTATGGGATGTTTTTCATGTTGAATAATATTTTAAAACTGAACAACTCCACTATGTTCCCTGAAACCTGTTTGAGTTTTCAGCTGGACAGATTTAAAAAAGCTTTGAGTGTGAAGAAAGTCATGACGCCACTTCTTACCGAGATATTTCTGCGATTCTTTGCTCCTGACCCGGCTCGCCTCTCAGACCTCATCAGGAGCAGCTAAACTACCAGATTATGCTACGCTAACTGCACCTGAGCTACATTCTGTTCATGACCACGTGTTCACGTTTCACTCTAAAACTCGCTGCTTTCATCCTTTACGTCAGGCTGTGCTAGAAAATTAATCTGCTGCTGCAGGGTTTTTTTTTCCAGACAAGATTAGCGTGACAGGAAATCAGGAGGAATATAATGTAGCAATAATATCAGTGAGGATCAAAATGCATTACATCATCAGATGCATCCAATCCCAGGACAAACTTGATTCTCTCGTCAGAGAATCAGACGTGAAGCTGCTGCTGTTTAAAGGCCTACTGGCTGCACTGATGCACAGTTTATCAGGAAACTGACTTTATTACTACTTTATTACTACTTTATTACTCAGTGACCTATTTTTATCTACATTACCCAGAGGTTTGCAACCGTCACAATCAACAAAGACATTTATGCTCCTTGGCTCATGAGAAAAAAATGTGTCTGGAGCTGCAGAACCTGCTACAGTTGTGATTTTCAACTGGTGGCCCGTGGGCCGCTTCAAGTTTGTTGAAGGAGGGCCTTTCTGGAAAGTATGGGGGAACATTATAAAACTAAAAATGCATAATAAATATTAACATTTATTACTATTTTTACACTTTAGGACAAAAAAAAGACCATATTCATGTAATTATTAGGGGTGCAACGATACAGAAAATTCACGGTTCATTTCGATACTTTAGTCTCACGGTTCAATATTTTTTCAATACAAAAAAGAGAAATGTCCATGCCCCTTTTAACTTGTAATTTATTTAAATTAATTATGAACATTTGTTTAACCTCAAAGGTACAGTTTTTAAATTAAATGTTGCTGAAACAGCAAGTTTCTCAGTGGATCTGGGCTCATGCAGCCTAGGTGGAGTAGTCGAACACAGATCCACTGATCCTTCAACACAGAGCATCTTCAGAAGACAAGTTGATAAAGTAAATTTTTAAAATCTGTATTGTTCGACACAAGTGTGTATTGAACCTAAAGCACTGTTCGATACGGTTCGATACAGGTACATGTATTCTTGCACCCCTAGTAAATATATAGTTCATACTAAGTTTTATAAAAACTACAACTGATCTATGCAAGTATTTTTTAATTCTGAAAGATCTTTAAAGGTAACTGTTGAATTTGAGAGAAAGATCATAGTTTAAGGCTGTTTGACTCTGTGTTTGAAGAATTGGTCACATATTTGCAAGCAAATTTACGGGAAAAACTGCTAAAGCTAGCCTTTTCTGTTGCGAGTATAAAAAAAACTAAAAATATGTAAAAACATCAGGTTTGGTCAAAGCTTCAAAGAGTCGTTATTTCACCTAAAACCTATGATTAATTTAGAAAAAGGCAAAAGCAAACCTGTTGTCCAAATCAACACTTTCTACTATCAACGTCAGACATTCAATAAATTTGTCGTTAACTGTTTCATTATTATTTTTTCTAATTATCTAAGATGGCGTCTTATTTTTGTTTGTGTTTGCAGCAACGAGACAAGAACTTGTTAAACTCATTGTTTGCTTTCAGTTTGCGCTCGACTGAACGGTTTGTTCCTTCCTGACGGTCACAGGTTGGGAGGAAGTTGTCAGCAGTGGACAAGTGAAAACATAAAATGCGCCTCGAGGTCCACGTCGGCACTGGTTCCCACTCACCTCCATCGTCCTCGTCGAAGGAGTTCATGCAGGGGAAGTAGATGGCGAGGGCCTCGAAGGACGCCGACAGGCTGATGCGGCTCTGCGAGCGCTCCATGTAGAGCCCCGCCGTCGGGCCCGGGTCGGCCGGCTTGGCCAGGCGCGGCTGGGCATTCTTCACGCGGAGTACGGCTCGCGGCGTCTTGGATGGCTGTCAGCTGCCCCCCACGGCAGATCCGCTTCACCCCGGAAAAGAAGAGTCGAAAACCAAAGTGCCACGACTCCGACAGCGCCTGCAGCACCTCAGAGATTTTTATATTTCTCTCTTGTTTTAAATATCAGACAAAATGTGAGCTCCACTCGTTCACAAACATCCTAGAAGATATCCCTGCTCACTTTCTGTACGGTTTCTCTTGTTTCTACCTTTGACTTTCTGAGGCACGGCTGTGTTTCTCTGATTCATTCATCTCGTTTTGTTGTTGCAGACCCTCGTGCGCATCTTCCTCTCCGACCCTTCAGGTCCTCAGAAGTCAGAGCTGAGATTGACGGGTCTTACCAGTGTCATTACGCTAATTCAACTCGATGTTGATGTTTTTAATTCACAGCAGAACTCTGTGAAGTCTGCGTGTCAGGCTAACGTCCTCTCTCTGTACATCCAGCTTCAGGTCCTGATGTCGGAGGAGAGGAGGAGGAGGAGGAGGAGGAGGACCGAAGGTGATGTTCACACCCAACATGAACCGTGTGATCTCCCTCCTGAATCACAGACTTTTATCCTTGCCTCCCAGCATCATCCGTACCTCCTGCTTCGCACGGAGCAAAGGAGAGATTGTCTTCGTAAAGCAGATCAGTTGGAGTGACATCAGTTGCAGCAACAGTTGCAGGCAAAGGGCAATCTGTTGCTTCCCTTCCAGATTGAACTGTTTCGCCTCAGATTTGTCTGCAGCTGTTGGAGATGTTCAGAAGCTTGTGCCTTTCCTCAGAATAAAAAAAATTAATAATAAAGAAAGGTTTGTCGACTTCCTCTCCCCTCTACGTGTTGCCTCCCTCGTTGCCGATGCTCCTCTGTCTGCGAAGACAGGAAAGGACAGACTGAGGCAGAGATGGAGGAGAGAGAGAGAGAGGCAGCGCTGTCCAGCTCCAGCCTGAGCACTCATTCACTGGCAGGAGGCAGAGAACGGAGTGGGGGGAGGATGGAGAGGAGAGGAAGGAAGGAGAGGCAGCAGACTGTTGGTGGCAGCTCCACCAATCAGGAGGTGAATGAGAGAATATGGGTGTGGCCAGGAGACAGTGGAAGCGATGAAGGGCAGCACAAGTTTACAGCGTCTCTTCCTGCCTGTGTCCTCACAACAACCAGGCGGCTCTGCTAAGATGATCAGAAATGAATAATGAAACACAGGATGACCTCAAACCACCTCAAGGTTTGAAACTAAAATAAAATGATGAAATCTACCCTGTATTTGCTTTCATTTGCAACTGAGATGTTGTCACAAAGCTGATATCTTTGAAATTTTGGATAATAAACACCACTGTGCAGCCCTCTTAATACTCATGAGGTTTTATTACAGAGACTTCACACTGTTATTGTCTGAACAAACTCTGTTGGTTTGACAACTGTCTGACCAACAGATCTCACCGATTTACACTGGATGCAGTTCCACTCCAGTCTGGTCCGCTCTGGTCCGACCTCCACAGCAAATACACAACCATTATAATCAAGGAGAGTTTTTACACTAGCTGTGTTTCCATTGACCATGAAAATGCGCAAATTAGAATTTCGAAAATAAATTTGCTCAATGGAAACACGTCAATTTCGAAAAAAAAAAAGTTTTTCGACAAAATGTTTTTGCGCTAGGATGAGGTGGTTTTTCAGCCGTATCGAAATTGGTGTTTTTCGCAAAACTGCAATGGAAACACTTTTTTCACATCACAGGAGTCACGTGATCAACAACCGTCTGTTTCTACTGGTGAAAAAGACGATGAGGAAGAAGATAACAGGAAGTAGAAGTAGTAGTAATATCACAGAAGTAGTATAAAATAGTAAACTCACCGACTACAATTTCCCAAAAACACAGCATACGTAGCCGCTCCCAAGTAGGGACTTGTCTCTGGAAAGCCTCGATAAAAGACGCCGACGTCTCCTCTGATGATGAGCGCTAGTGTCGTGGTAGCAACATGCTATGTGTTTACATCCATCGCTGCCATGTTTGTAATGACTTATCATGAGAACAAACGTATTCACGTGACTTTAATAACATTTCTTACTTAATGGAAACACTGCAGTTGTGTTGTGTTTTCGACATTAACAGAATATCAACAAAGTTTTGCGCACGTTTGTAATGGAAACACAGCTACTGGCTCTGCATGGCGATCCGCCAAAATTTGATTCAATCCTATTTTTGCCGGAGCTGCATCGGAGTCAATCTACAAAGATCACGTCGCACCAGCAGGAAAAGGAACAAGCACAACATCCGTATTTTCAAAATAATTCACCAAAGACAGACTAATTTTGTCATAATCCCTGCTATTTTAATAAATGTATGGATATAATTAAACACAAATGCTGTCAAAATGTACCGTTCTGTTTATGAAGCAGATGGGAACAAGTAGCGTGTAGCATATGTACACACACAATACACGTGAATTTTATTTTGAAATCAGAAGTTTCAAAAAGACGACAGTGAAACAGTTTCAACTGTTTGGAGTCCATCTTTCACAGAATTAATTCTTCTGCTCTGACTTCCACATTTATCACTGGATTTATCAAACGGTCTCACATTTCCTGCACGATTCTCACACCTCCTCTGTGCTAACATTTTGTCTGAAGTGGCTCGAAAAGAAATCACAAAGAAAAGAAAGGAACTGAAATAGGTGTAAAGAAGCCAAAACGTGCCTGATCATCAGTGTAAAAGATATAAATTGACAATCAGTCAAATTATACAGAATGTGGGGGGAAACATAGCTGTTTTTGTAAATACTTATTTTTCATCTTATAAAACCAGAAAAGAAAAATTACGGAGCCCGGGAGTGGACATGGGGTATGTTTTTTTCTTTTGCGTTCCCACTGAATATCTTTGCGTTACCTTGCAATACTTTTTGTGTTACTTCACAAACGTTTGCATTCTCTCGCAATATTGTTTTGCATTCCCAAGCAAATTTTTTTTTTTTATGAATGAATGAATGATTTTATTTATTCGGGACAGTGTGCAATTAAAACATAATTTGATGCATTCCATCAGATTTAGCCTAAGGCTAATTTTACATCTGTAGTCCTATTAAACAGTAAAAACAAAACAACGTCCAACAGTATAAATCCCGGACGAGCCCCCATTTGTCACAGGCCTGCCCATGGCCCAGAACAAAAATGAGGGGAGACAAGGTAAACATTTTTATTATTAACATAAATCTAAATAAACTCAAAATCCAACCTAGAACAAAAAGCCAAGGAGTTACCTGGAGGAGCAGTGAGAGAGAAATGGTTAGTGGAGCACTGATTATATCACTGCGCTTCCCATTACTCAAAGGCCACTGCTCCTTCCAATCAGAGGAGGAGCCGTGACATTGAATAAAATCAGACTTTTATTTTGAAATATCCGGTTACCAAAACAGGATGCATCGCCACAAGCTCGTGAAATTTGCATTGATGTTGCCTGGTATATTCATTCCAAAGCTGAAGTACAGTAGTTGGCTAACTCGCTAATGGTGAACATGTGAGTTTGTTAATAAACCGTCAGGCACAACAGTGATTAACGACTTTTGCGAGGGAACACAAAAAGTATTGCTAAGTAACGCAATACTATTGCGTAGGAACGCAAAAGAAAAAAATGCCCCCGTGTCCCCTCACAGGTTTATGTAAAAAAATACTCCGTCTGCTGTTTTATTATCCTTTTTAGGGCTGGGCGATGTGGCTGAAAAACCGTTTCATATCGGTCAGTATCAATAATTATTGGTTAGTTTTAGACAACATCCTGACTCTTGTTGAATTTAAAATATCTGAAATTTTACCAAACTGGTGACCTTTCCTCTGTTGTCCACAATTTCCTCTCGAGCCATTGCATCGTTTCCTCCTTTCACTCCAGTTCGTTCTTTTTTATTTTGAAGCTATGAGGCAAGACATGAAACTGCTACACGTTACTCCACAGGTTTTTTTGCTAGCTTACCTCGATCAGCTGCAGGTTTGCAGCTGTCGGGGGCGGGGCATCTCTCTTCAGGTTTTAGATGCTTCATTTCAGGGTAACAGTGTCCTAAATCTATAATTAATTTCATATTAACCCTTTGAAGGAGTTTAGATAGTTTGCGCTTTATTGCTACATACCAACAAGAGGGAGAAAGGAACCCGTTTTACAGATTTCAAAATAAAGCTTGAGCGGTTTTTATGTTTTATTTTATTTTTTAGTGGGTATTTGTCATCTATTAGCAGCTGGAAGCTTTTATTTTGAAGGTGAGTCTTAGCTTTCCTGGTCCCAGCTTATTTTATGTGAAAGTTATCAACCGTTAGCAGTTAATAACCAGTGAAATCAGTATTATATCAGATGTGTTTATGCCTATTATGATATATGTTGTTACTAAATCATCTCCCAGCCTTAATGCTTTTTATGTCCTTTTGTTTGAAGTCTCCAGATCTCCTCTTTACTCCCTACTGCCCCGTCCTCGACTTCATCATGTGCTCTCTTTGCATCTGTTGTTTTTTCTTTCTTTCTTCTGCATTCTGTGCAGAAGAAAGACAAAGGAGGAAGGAAAGAGGCTGTGTAATCAACACTGCTTCACGGGGCTCCATTCATCTTTGCACTTCCACAGATAGAAGCCATCGGGGACACACACACACACACAAACACACATAAATAAACACACACGGCTCTGACTGAGACTAATGTGCAACTTCACGCGAGCGCACAGGGGAAATGTGGTGACTCATGCTTTTTTTCCACATGTAATCACACACACAATGTGCACACAGAGAAAAATACATAAACTGTACACACGGGCAGAAGTTGGCAGAAATGATCAAGTTGTTTCTGTGTGAGACATCAGAGCTCATTCCAAAACGTCAGTCAGACAAATGACTGGTCAGAGAACAAGCAGTTACTAATATATCACAGCGTATTTATGAAAATGTCACGAGTGGCAACTGTGATGTCAGCAGCTCCAGAAACACAGAGGAACTAAAGTAAAACCGTCTCTGAGCAGCAAGACCTGCTCTGAACATCTTTTTAAAGTGCCTGTGACGTCAAATTTTTGTAATAAATATGAATGCATTTTTGAAAAGATGTCATTGACAAAATATTGCAAAAGAAATTTCATGCCGCTGAGATGAACAGTTGTTGAGATATTTGCCTGTGAAGTAACAGGAAGTGATGTCAAAGGGGAATGTCTGCATGTGAACAGAGCGTTGCTACAACAGCCAACAACACAGACTGTGGAGAAGAATCTGATGTTTCTTAAGATTATTTTGAGTCTCTATCAGAGAGATGATGAAGAGTCAGAGTTTAAATAATATTGTTTCAATAAACAAAGACCAGAGCGTTTTCTTTGTTAAAGAGTTCCCCTTTGATGTCACTTCCTGTTTCACTTTGGCTGAGTCAGGTTCAAAATATGCCAGTTAAGGGACAAAATGTGTAAAATTGTGTGTATTGTTCCGGCTTTCTTAAATATAAAATGTTTACTTTGAAATTTTTTGTATTTGAAGAACATGTATGTCACAGACACTTTAAAGGATTACAGGTAAACTTTAGAAGTGACTGCTGCTCAGGTGACTCTGACTTCCTGCTTCTCACAACAACAAGCTGCTTTACATGAATGAATACTGAGGAAATTGTGTTATTGTTTAAAATATTAATTTTTGGGAGGAAAAAGGCACAGAAACTATAATATTCTTTTTCTTACTGCCGCCTTTCATTTTGTTTGTGATTTGTATTTTTATTGTATATAAATTTATTTTATATTTTAAAGAAATTAATGTTAAAAAAAGAAAAATAAAGACCTTTACTCACTAATGAGTCATGAGTGGCCGCCTTCTTTAATTCTGAAATCTCCCACTTTCCGACAGGGAATTCCCACTGGGTGGGCATTCCAATTTAAATTACTTCTAAGTGGGAAATTCCCACTTTCCAGTACAACTGGGCTGCAGCTGAAGAGGCTGGTGAAAATGTAGAGAAATGTAGATTTAACCGAAGCCTGCTATTTTTAAGCACATCAAAGAGTTTATATAATACCACTAGAGTAAGCCCCGCCCACCGTTAGCATCAGTGACAACATGGAGGCGAAAAGATGGCGACCAAACAGGGTGTTGGCTCACAGCCGTCATGTCAACTATTTGATTAACAGTAAGTATTTATCAACTTTTGAAGCTCTTGT